CAAAATAATCATAACTAGGTTTTTCTGTAATGTTTAGCCCACTTCCTCTGCTAATGAGGACTGTTAGATGTGGAAAGTATGTGAGTCCTGACTGAAGAAAGAAATGCAAACAAAAAGTCCAAGTCATTAGAGACTCGTGTCACGCAGAGAAGACAGACGAGATACGGGGAATTAGACAACATTTCCAGACAGTTTGACTGTGGTGATGATGAGTACGATGATGGTGTGTGAGGAAGCACTAGGCGAGACAGAAGACGTGTTTTGTTTTTTCCCCCAAACATTTCTCAGTGGGTGTGGGAGGAAGAAAAGGGAGTGAACACCACACACACTCACACACAGGATGGATGATCTCATCGTACCACCCAATGACTTCATCGTCACTGTCCTGACAAACACAGCAGATCCCCCCCTTTGCTGCTCTTTATCCTGTTTACTCTGTTAGCATTGCGTGCATTAGTTACAATGAAAACACATTTTTTTGGACTTGTTAAGGTTACTTGATTAGTTTTCTGGAGAAATTTAAAAGAGAACAAAGTTTGTGCGTCTGTCATGACTTAAAACAACCACCTGTTATAGTGTGAGTAAACAAGAGGCAACTCACTAACTCGGTTCTCAGGAGAATACAGAGAAACGGAGCTGAAGTGTTTCTGGATACGCAGCTGGGAGGGTGCGGGAATTTGGGGCAAGTTTAGGTGGAGAACTGGCAAATTTAGCCCACTTTGACCAACCTTAGACTATGCGTGGTGACCTTCAGCTGTCCAGGATACAGTTACAGCACCGGGGCTTTGCCTAATGCAAGTATTTTATTCTGGCTTGCCAGAGTATTAAAAGAGCAAACTGTTTTGGCTTTCTGGCTTGTTAGGCATTTAGTTGTTATAGCAAACAGCTAGCTTTTATGTCACTACTGACAGCTAAACAAAGAGCAACATGTGAGTGATGGCAGACTGTTTCTAAAGGCTTTGGCAGGAAATCTGAAGACTGTGCTGCTGAAACAACCTGCTGCTATTTGTCTGGACTGTCCACCTATCCATCTGTCAGCAGGCATTAGCTCTCCCATCCCTCCTAAAAGGCATTCGCTCACGTAACATTGCTGAATACATGCAGAGACACACACATTCGAACAAGATATAGACATACAAATTAAAACCTCTGCTTCATTCAAGTTTTCCAGCCTTTTCTTTTAACTTTGCAGCAAGGTCATTTCTCTGTTTTTACTCCCATCCACACAGCTTAAGTGAGGATACAGGCGTCTTCCAACCAACAAAAAAAATGCTAAGAAGGAATTTGCCAAACAAAATGAAATTGGGTTAAAAAGTGAAAGATGATGACATTAAAAAGAAAAGAGGTTTCCTTGGGTTTAAATGTAGAAGGACACTTATCGTCTTTAAAAACCTTTGAACATCCATGAATCTCTGAAGCTCTGAGTTTTGGCATTAAAACGTTCATCTAACTCTAGGAAAGAAGGCAAACATGTTAGTAATAACAGGGTTCCTTTTCAGGCAGAGTGATGAATCTGATGCCACCAGCGAGGTGTAAAGACAGAGACGGAGAGTGTGTTTAAGTGTGTTTGACTGTGAAGCGACTGGTGATTGGTGCGTGTTGAAAAGGTCACAGCTGAAATAGAAACAGCTGAAGAAGAAAAAGACTTCATTAAATCCCCTTGGAGTACACTGACTGGCTCACTGTGTTTATTGTTGAGTAATGAGTGAACATCAGTCACCAGGAGGTCAGAGTGAAGCACCTCACTGAGGTTTGAGGTTTGAGTCGAACGCAGCTTTAATAAAGGGAAATTTCACCAAAGAAGGCAGTGTGATTTCTGTCTTCCTGTAGAAAGCCAGTTTGTCAGATGTTTGTTTGAAGAATTTTTACTAATGAGTCATAGTCAGAGCAGACGTTACTCAAAAGCTCCTTCAAAAAGAAAATAAACAAGCAGATCATGCAGTATTTTTCTTTTTGAATGGAGGTTTTTCTGTACTTCCAGAAATGCCTTTTTATGACTATTAACTTATTTTTAAGATATTTTCTCCACGTGCTTTGGAACAATTGACCGTATATGATCGGATTTGGGGAGTTTCCTTGCCATAGATGCAAAATGTTAATTTGATCATCTCCGAGCCACCTTTTGCCCTCAGATTGCACCTGGATCTTTGGAAAACTTTAGTCTTTGGGATGTTTTTAGTTTTGCTAGTCTTTAAGAAGCAGCTAGACAAGCAAAAGCCCACAAACTGGGAACAGCTTGGTGCACCAGTAAGACAGGAATGGGTGGCCATCAATCAGAATTTAAAAATACAGACTCTTTGCATACATTTGTCTTGTGGAATGCTTATGATTTTTTTCACTACATCATACATCATGTAAAAAATATGATGTAAATAAAAACTGAAGTGTATGAAACACAAGAAGTCACACACTTTACATTCAAAGCATGTTTCTCGTCTCACTTCTGTTTGTCCTTCTGTGCAGAATATGATGAGTGATGTGTGAACTGTGCACAGTATTCAACACTGTTTTATCACAGTGACTGAAGCTTCTCAGCACATCCACTGAGAGTAGTTTCTATGAATATACCTGCTCGTGAGTAGTAGAAAGCTTTCTTCTTTTCATTATCTATTGTTACTTTTCAGCTTTTATTTGCTGTTTTGTTAGGTCTTGGAGAACCATATTCAATTTCAAGAATGTTAACTGCACTTAGAGAACATGTCTGGCATTAGGACTTGAAGACTAATGTCTCACGTTTCATGTAAAAACACCAAGAAACTCGATAATAATACAAAACCGAAGATCATCATAAAAACAACACCAAGTGAGATCCAGTATCACAGGAACTAAGATTCACACTATACTTGAAATAATAAAAGAATCAAAACAGGAAATCTCAAACTCAACTGGTCAAATCATCAAAAACTTCAATAGAACAACAGCGAAGAGATAAACGAAAATAAACATAATAAACAAAAATCCAAAAGCTGCAGGGAACAAAATCAGGCGCCACGACACACTTCAACAATCTCATGTGCCTTAGAACAAGACAGACCAACAAATCTATCTCAACACAACACACAACACATACAAGCACAGTCTTTATCGGCAAAACAAACAGTACAGTAATTAGAATAAGTTTATTTTTTAACAAACCTCACTCTGCTGCAGGGCAAAGGGATCAAAGTGCAAATTTGAATCTAATAATAAAAGTCCTGATCCATTATAGAGTTAACACAGACCCAGACAACTTCTAACATTCACAATTATTACAGCTGATGACAGGAGGAAGCTGTAGCAACCAGACAAAACTGTTTTGTTTGAGCTAACATGAACCCTTAAATTACCAGCTTATTGAACATGTTATGAATTGTCTTTATTTACTTATATGCATATAAGCATGCATATATGCATATAAGCATGCATATATGCAGCATACTAACCTTTGTCTCCAGTTAGTTTGGACACCAGTCATACTGACTACATATTTTGGCAGCTTTAAGTTAGGATGCTAAACTGCAGCCAAAATTCTTACCTCTGTTCGTGACAACAAAAAATACTGAACAGTGTTATAAGCTGAGGAGAAAGCTTCCTTTTTCTGAGGAAAACGTGTGGCCGTTCTATATTTAGGAGTCAGATAAGGCGGGTATGTTGTAGGTGGGTACACTTGGCTGAGCTCCACGAGTAATGTCAAACACGTCGGCTATGTGAAGTGGAAACTACAGGAAATGCTGTGAGATAAGAGGCTGGAGGTCACAGAGGGGCAGCATCTTGACTTTGAATCAGAGCTTTGGCACATGGCATCCTCTGCATTTCCTGCTGCTCTCCATTTAAGACAAAATTGGACAAAAATGCCACGAGTGAGCTGCTGTTTCCAGCTGTGTCACAGTCTCCGGTTACTATTTAAGAGTAAACAGTGGCCTGAAGGAGGAAAAGGCTGGATAGGATAGTGGAGACCACAGGGAACTTTTATTTTTACCTGTAGCATACATATTTAAATCGGTTGCTGTTGGTGACTGTGTTTTGGGGATTTGTATTATTTAGTTTATAGTTTTGCAACATTTCCTGCTTTCAGTCATGAGATTGTGGATTCATCATTTTTATTTTTAAACTTTTACTGCAACAAAAGAGATCATTTTATGGCAACCTTTCTTTTTCTTTGTAACCTCAATATTCATAATATGAAGCTTTTTTGGGGTGGGGGGGCGGGAGTTAACAACATGTAACAAAAGAATAACGAGAGGGGTGCATGTATGGGGGCACACTGCAGGTTATTTCAATGCTGGTGATGGCGGTTTTTCCAGCTCGGGGGTATAAAGACAGGGCTCACGCCACAAACAGGTGACGCTGATCTGTCAGGTTATCATCCTGGGACTGATGTGACCTCTGGACAAACAGCCAGAGGCCGAATTACAGGAGGGATCTGTGGGAAACAAAGTGCCGCCACCACAGACCCAACAGGCAGATCAGGACCTCGTGGTCATGGATTACCTTCGCTGACTGAAATAGAAACCTCCAGCTGTTAGACTCAGACTGCAGAGAGATGTGTCCAAACTGACTTTAGCCTACAGCACTTATAAACATGACCAGAACTGATCACAGTGACTAAAGCTTGCAGAAAGCTCGACTCAAGCTGGACTTCTGTTTTTATTTGTTTGGAGGTTCTTCCTCATTGGGTCAGATCAGGACGTCGGATGTAATAATGTAATCTGAAATCAGAAATCAAATTGCTGTAAAGTGTGTTAAGTGTGTGTAAGCTCAAAGTGTGTACGTGGCCCATTATTCATTTAAAGTTAGAGGGTGCAGTGTGGTTGTGTTAGATTCACTAATGCTGCTTTCCAGCTCACTATTATCACAATTACTATTATTACTATGATTACTATTATTAAAATGTTTTCAGCTTCTACAAGAGTCACTTTGCATGACACAGAGCTCAGAATAATCCTTATTTATATCACACTATCTTATTCTCTCTTATTCATTACCTGTCCATCTCCTTTTAAACCATCAAACTCATTTCTCTGTTTTTCTGCATGATAAAGAAACACTGCTGTATTAAATGAAAGAAATCTGCCAGAATTTAATTGCAGTAAATTGTAAGAAATAAATGTGTAAAATTACAGAGAAAGCTCTGGTAGCTCAGACTGTCCTGTAATTATAAGAAACGTCTTAAAAATCAATTGCTTAATTACTCTTGGTGTAGTATGAATGGCAGAGGAGGAGGTCTTTATCAGCAGGAAAAGCTGTAAAACGTATGAAAATACAGTTAAAAGACTAAGTCTATGTCCTCTGTTATATTTTCCAAAGATGTGCTGAATTGGAATGTTTCCTGACTGGATTTTGGCCCCTGGGCCTCATGTTTGACATCCCTATTTTAAAGCAACTTTCTTCTGATTGGTTGCTCCTCAGGTATACCTGAGATGACCATATTAAGGACACCTGTCTTTATCTGATGTCATATAGATCCAAGTCTAGAATGAAACAGTCTGAAGTCTCGGCTTTTGCTCACAGGAATTACTCACACGCACACTGACCTCATTATGTGAAACTTTGTGTTTAATGTGAGCATACACCACTGCAACTGCATATAATCACAGGAAAGAAAGAAAAGCAGGATAGGTTACCTTTAAATGAACATCATACAACTCAGATGACACTTGATTTTCTGTATAGCTAAATAAAATAAAACCTCTCTCAGACAGAAATTCGTGATCTTGAACACTGATGTGATGTGCCACACCAGTAAGTGACCCTCTGACCCACTGACCTCCACATCTGGAAATATCTGTGAGCAACAATCTGTACTGATGCAGATGTTTTTACCTTCTCCATGGCTGAGTTCACGTCCATGTAGTCCAACGTCCGTCGGTGAGCTGTCTCCTTGGCTCCTCGACTCCGTCTGCCGCCGCTCTTCCAGAACAATGAGACTTTAAATTCCTCTCCCGTTGACCGCACTTCCTCACTCTCCGCCCACAGTCGGTTCTGCTGCCACTCTGCTCCGCCGGCTCTCCACAGCTCGCTGCAATTTAACTGTCCACACCTTCATCAGCCCTCCTTTCTTTGTCCTCTGCTTTTACATTTCTCGCTTCTCTACACTCAGCAAGATTAAAACTGACCTTTCTCCTCTTCAGCTGTAAACTCCTGCTTTTACTTTTCCATTCAGCGTATTCCCCCCACTCTTCCCTCCTGATCTGTGTGGTTGCCAGCTCTGCTTCTCCACCCTCTGCAACATAAACTGAGCAGGTTTCTTCACCTCTTGATTTTGTTACAACACGCAAGGGGGGAAACTGGGTTGTTTTTTGTTTGTTTTTTCCTGCAAAATTTCTAATCTTCCAGTTTTACAGTCTGCTGAGTGGGGAATTCACACTGCTGTGTTAAATTTTGCAGGCACTTGCAGTGTTGACTGTTCCAACCACAGCTGCATTGTCCCTAATCACAGCTGCTCTCTGCTGCAGAACAGCACACTGTTGGGACTAACTGGATCAGTGAGGCCTGACTGAACTGTTTGTGTTTTTAATCTCAGACAAAGACTGAGAGGGAGTCCCTGCTCACACTCCTCCAGCCAATCAGAGTCACCCTGTAAAACTTCTCAGCCAGTAGGAATGGCTGAATTTCCTCCTCCTCCTCCTCCTTTTCTGCATTTTCAGTGTGGCTCAGAAAAGCTTAGACCAAGGCATGAGCAACACACCTCAGGTTTGCAGGTCCAGACGAGGCCTAGTGGTGACTAACACGGCATGGCCGTGTTTTTGTTATGGCTTTGATTTCTTCAGGATTGGTCTTAGCGGGCTGTTGAAGGTCCTGTGAGTGCAGAACAACGGCTTCATAGCTGAAATGTTCTGGCGATCCCTGACTGTTGATGATCGTTTTCTCTCTCATCTTGTGCTTTTATTTTGTAGCTATCTGTGTCTATCAGAAATAGCTACAAAATAAAAGTCTATCTCCGCAGCTACACCTTCTTGTCTCTTTCTATGGCTTAAAGCACACAGCTTTGAATGAGCAAACTAACATTCAAATCAAGCTGATATGTTGGCCTGGTCTGAGCTCTTCAGTCTGCACATGTTAGTAACCCACCCTTTTTGACACTAAACTCATTCACTTGTTTAAATTTAAAAACCCAACGCCATTGCAGATAGGCCATTATCACACCTGTTTTGGTACTAAAGGGATATGTTTAGTTCCTTTGAGGCACTTTATGTCTGTAATTGATTATGATGATGTGATTTATATGGATGCTTTGTCAGAATCCTTACTGATGCTAGATTCTGTCTATCATGGAGCACTGATTCAATATAAAGGCTTGTACTCTTCACTGTATGCTGTATGCTCAGGTTGAGCGGTCTTCTTTGTCGTGTTATAGCCCTAGCCACTGAATTGTTGTTATTTATAAGGCTATTCACATAAAACAGCACACATTTGCTGCCTTCTTACTTACTGGCTTGCATTCATCAACTCAATTTATCAAATGAGCATTCAGCTTTGCAGCTCCTTGCTCCTGGGATCAGCTGCAGAATCAACTAAAATTTCAGGAACTGCCCTCACTAAATGAATTGAATTAATTAAACGAAGTCACTTCAGGCTGCAGATGTTTTCCTTGAATATTTTTAACTTTTTTTTCTGGCATTATAGAATTACTTTTACTAAAGCATGTGTTTTTGTTATTATTTAAGTTTCTAAAGTTTGTTTGTTTCTGTGTTTCATTCTTGTCTCACATTCTTCGCATCTATACATACAAATTATTATTATTTTATCTTATTATATCTTTTATTATTATATCCCTTATGTGTTGATTTAATTGATGTTACTTACGCACGTGAATATTTTTGCAGTGCAAAAACATCCACAGGAGGGCAAAAGCCACTTTATTTTTACTGTAGTGAGGATACGAGGGAGGAAATAAAGCGGATTTGAACGCAGCCAAAATTTTCCCGGGAAACGATACGACGTAATAAACGCTGCCCCTCCATCGCGCTCAGACAAAAGATGCGTTCGCTTTATTCTGCGGCTCGACACTAGTTGTTTTTATTAAGGTCATCACACAACAGGACGAGCGGTCGTTCTGCTCCTTGTCTTAAAGCGAACACACCGTGCTTTAAGTTCCCTCCTCTTTCAGGCAAATACACCAATGAGAAAGCAAAACCTCAGCCGTCTCCCTTGAATATTCATGATTTTTCGCGGGCTTTGAGTGTCACATGGTCCTTTCGCGCGAAAAGCGACTCACGGCAGGAAGAAGAATAAGTAGCTTTTGAAGCAGCAGCGAGACAGAAACGCAGCGATGGCGGTGAGTAAACTCATTAAAAACAGGCGCAGTGCTCTAATGGGAGGGCTCAGCTTGTAGGCAGAGGCGCATTAATCTATACGAAGCAGTTTTTACCAGTCAGCTTTAGTTTTTCTGGGAAAATAAACTTTGTTCATTCGTCGAGTCACAACAATGACAGAGAGCGTCATCAAGAGTTGATGTAGAGCTTCATTCTTTGCCAGATATCAGAATTAAAAATATACGTGTTTTGCTAAGAACCGTTTTTCACCTTCGTAGACTGGACCCAAAACCCGTTGTTGTTTTTTGTTCCTTCGCTGTAAAAAGGAGACCTGCCATGTGGTCAGTTAGCTTGTTTTTGCATCTGTAAACCGTCTCAAGTAACAACCGAGGAATAATAAAACTTTTTTTGAATCTTTACATCCCCTTGCATGAGTCCTTAAATCTGGAATAATTGATTATAGTTTACTTACAAGCCACGATGAGCTTTAAATGATTGGTTTCAATCAAGTAAAGAATCATTAAAAGATCATTAAAATACACTGTCCTGTAATACTTAAGCTATTAAATTACATTTTGCTTCTAATGTTGGCTCGCCACATTCTTAAATGTAATAAACATGTCTAACAGTCCTACTTTTAAAGATCTATGGTCTTTAAGAAGTCACACAGCCCTATGTGAGTTTTTCTTCCCTTCTTAGATAAAACTAACTACTAAAAGTTACCAGTTAAAAAATATTTAAAAAAAATTCAAATTGATGTACATCAAAACTACTTGAAGACAATAATCCTTTGACAGCAGTGGCACAATGTACCAAATGTATTAAAATGTTCTGCCCTCATCACCATCTCTACCTACTGTCTTTCTTGCTGCTGCCGTCCACTGAAAACAAAATGCAAAAAAACCGGAATCTGCTAGAAGAAAAAAAAAAAATAAAAACGCAGACTAAAATGAAATGCTGTATGTGAACAGTGGAAGCTGTAGACAATGTCAGTAAATGGCAGTAAATATAAGAATAATTTATTTGTTCTGAATTTGTGTTGTTGACAGGATTCCTCAGAGTCATACCACATGGCCACCAGCCCCAGCCGAGCCTCCAGGAGGGGAGACCTGACCTCCAGCCCCGGACGAGACTTGCCGCCCTTCGAGGATGAGTCGGAGGGGCTGCTGGGAGATGGACCCTTGCCTGGGGAGGAGGAAGAAGATGGAGAGGAACTGATTGGAGATGGAATGGAGAGGTGAGCGTGGATTTAAAATGGCCTTAAAGCTATGAACTCTGTGGGGTTTGTTTTTTTTTAGGGCTTCATAACAACTCTGTCTCTGTTCAGGGATTACCGTGCCATTCCGGAGCTGGATCAGTACGAGGCGGAGGGTTTGGACCTCGATGATGAGGAGCTGTCAGAGCTGTCGCCAGGAGCCCGAGCGGCCGCTGAGGAGGCCATGAGGAGGAGGGACAGGCAACAGGGAGTCAGGGGGCGCGTGAGGCCAGGATTGCTCTACGGTGAGGCTTGAGTGTGTGGATATTTGTCAGGGTGGTGACGGGTAGGCTATGATTAATTCTTTCATTTTGTTGGCTTCCAGACAGCGAAGATGAGGATGACGAGCGCCCGGCTGCTCGGCGAAGAAGGCTGGCTGAGCGGGCAGCAGAAGGCGATGGCGAGGAAGAGGAAATGATTGAGAGCATTGAGAATCTGGAGGACATGAAGGTTTGTGATGACATTGGAGATGAGCTAGCACACAGAAGTTTTTCAGGTCCGGCTGTTTGGGACGTCTTTGTAACGTTTTCACATGCTCTGCAGGGCCACACAGTGAGGGAGTGGGTGTCCATGGCGGCACCGCGGCTGGAAATCTACAACCGCTTCAAGAACTTCCTGCGCACACACGTGGATGAAAACGGCCGCAACGTCTTCAAGGAGAAGATCAGCGACATGTGTAAAGGTAGTGCAGTTTTCAGTAAACTTTAATGTGTGGAAAAATACAATTGTTGACTGATTTCTGGCAATGTTTGAATGAATCAATCTGAACCTGTAATCCAGAGAACAAGGAGAGCCTGGTAGTAAACTACGAGGACCTCGCAGCCAGGGAGCACGTCCTGGCTTACTTCCTACCAGAAGCTCCAGCTGAGATGCTGAAGGTTAGTGAACTTGTCATCTTGCTTAATGTCCTTTACTGTGCCTTTTGTTCATGCATTTATATTTAACTTTAGCGGATATTAAATGCTGTGAAAGTTAAATGTGAGTGTCCTTCAATTATTTTCTCCGGTGCGTGTCTGATTGTTCTTTGCCAGATTTTTGATGAAGCTGCTAAAGAAGTTGTGCTTGCCATGTACCCAAAATATGATCGCATTGCCTACGAGATCCATGTCCGCATCTGCAACCTGCCTCTGGTCGAGGAGATCCGATCACTCAGGTAACACTTCAGTTTTTACCCAACAGGTATTTTCAACTGGAAGGAATAATTCACAGTAGTAATGAAACTAAGGCGAGACCTCCACATTAGTCTTGGCGAGGCACATCTGTGGCTCTTCCAAAAAGGGCCGTCTATATATGAAGGAGCTACTTAGGTGAAGCTTTCTGCTCTTTACCAACTGTTTTCTTCTTCTGTTGCCCTCTTCAGGCAGCTCCACCTGAACCAGCTCATCCGGACCAGCGGCGTGGTGAGCAGCTGCACCGGCGTCCTGCCTCAGCTCGGCATGGTCAAGTACAACTGTAACAAGTGTAACTTCGTGCTAGGGCCCTTCTTCCAGTCCCAGAACCAGGAGGTGAAGCCGGGTTCCTGTCCGGAGTGTCAATCCCAGGGACCGTTTGAGATCAACATGGAGGAGGTGAGGGGAGGGCCGGGCTGGCTGATGGTTGGTTGTGAAAGTTGTAGTTTGTCTGCCGGGTCTGTGCCCAGTCTGAGGATTTAAAATGACTGCCTCCTTCCTGCAGACGGTGTACCAGAACTACCAGAGGATCACCATCCAGGAAAGTCCCGGTAAGGTGGCTGCAGGTCGACTCCCTCGCTCCAAAGATGCCATCCTCCTGGCCGACCT